TTCTCATGGTTCTCCTTCTTTCGTGTACCACTCACGATCCCTAGGTTAATTTGGAATGGGTTGCTTTTTCGTCGTAAATTCGTCCTTTAAGAAATCTTTCGTCGCTCCTTTCTTGGCATTCAGAGGGTCGCTCAGGAAAAGATCACAGTTCTGTGTTCCATGCTCGTACCTCTATATCATGCAAGAAACTGCTTCGAGAAAGCTGGGCATTCCCTGGAAGACCTCCGTGGTAAGTCAAGCTCTTTCACAAAGTGTAGTGGTCACATCCGGATGTAGTTGCGTAACATACCGTACTCCGAAGGTGTATGTTCTTGTGTGATACCTTCATACAAGGTAAACTCTGCCGTTTTGCGACACCAAAGCTGAAACGAGTTCGTATGAAACATTAACAGTGTCACTTCAACGCTGCATGTGAATTCTTTTGAGGTCTACAATTCCTAATTTTCGTAAATTTTATTTTGCAAGATCATCAAAAATTTCCTTCATGTTTTAATTTTTAACGTGAGTCTCACACGGTCGAACTGTGCCGCGGTCTAACCCTGGAACGGTTTGAGTGGGTTTTGACCAGGTTGAGCTCCTTCGGCTGATTATTAAGGTTTTCGGTGCGCCTAACTTTCTAGCGCTTCAAAATTCCGCCCACTTCTACAAGTGGGCAAATTACTGATGCACCTATGTATTGTTTGGGCTTCCTAATATTCTTGCTGCAAACGTTCCCGTTCCGTTCTCTCCTGATATGCTGCTCAAAAATGTTGCTAATAGATTGCACTGATTTCAAAGTTGTTCGGTTTTTCGCTTTGCGAATTGCAACCATCAAACTCCAAGAAAGCGCTATGCAAGCACGTTTTCGTCGATTTCTCAATTTTTAAATACTTCTACGACAGCGTTCAAACTCAGCACACCTTCAAACCATGGGCGTGTCTTAACTTTGGAGTGGGTCACAACTTGTGACTGTGAAAATGAATTGAGCAGAGGCTTCAGAAAGCGACCGAAAGTGGTCCAAAACGGGGCATCACTTTCGACATATGGCTCTCCGGTTCTCAGTATCTAATGTAATTTCAAGTATGGGTCTATCATATTCTCGAACCAGAACCCTCCCGTAATGGCGCTTCTGTAACCCTGGGACGAAGCGATGGGAAATATCGGCGTGCCGCATGCGATGTACTTGCCAAATGTCTGAAGACCTGTGTGAAGGCCCGAGGCGATCAATTTGGAAACGGGTGGTGCATCCTGAATTGACAGATTTTCTACAAATAATATCTATGGCTAGAAGTGATCATTGAAAGTTAGTCTCGCAATGCGAACAAAATATTGGTGCGCCAGTAATTTGCCCCACTCTGTACATTTTTTAGAGAGCAAGGTCGTACTTCTTACGAAATAGGAAGCAAAATAATATTATTTATCACGAGATGTGTATCACAGTATGCGTTGCGGCAAGTCTTCCAGCCGAGGCAGTACGCTAACCACTGGCCTTCCGATCATCTCAAGATTTTGGGTATATCTTTGAATGTCAAAGTAGTGTGGCAAGTCTTGCCCGAGGATGCAAAGATCAAAAGGGCACTAAAAATTATACTGTCCCGAAAGTTGTGAAGGGCTTCTTTTGGGAGTCTACTTCACTTCAACAACAATCATCACTATGTACTATTGGGACCTTCACCAATGATCATCCAGAGATGGCGTGTTTTATCACGAGAGATGAAAAGGCGCCAGGGAAAGAGGACAAGATTGCTGCAATGCTGACATGATACAAATGATGTCCTATCACTGTCGTGCAGTTGTCCATCAAGTGGATACTCCTTGCTCGAGGAACAAAGGCTCATCATTCCTTCTCGTTCATACGAAGACGAGAAGGAGCCTGATCATAAGGAAGGAGCTTCTCCTCCTCCACTTGCGTATGCAGGAGATCGAGCAGATGTGCACTTGCGACCAGGATTGCAAGCATACAGAGTTCACCATAGATCCTTATTTAATGCTTAGGAACGCCTTGGGCAATCAGCATTCACAAACAATGTGGTGCACACCTCATTGCAAATGGCTGGACCTACGTGCTGTCCTTTCCTGGTACCGGAGACACTTTGTGTAGACCGACCAGAGGTCCTTCATTGAGAGGACCCTTAGCGAGGGGACCCTTATCGTTAGTGAAGGGTATCCGTGGATGGTGGCGGATGCATGAAAACGTGTTGAACAAAAGAGGTCTTAGGAGTCAAGTTTTTCCAGTTAAGAGTTTCATTGTCTCATAAGTAATTTGTACAACATTGCGGGGTAGTAACATAAATTTCGCTTCACTGGCTTTCAAAGACGAGATCTGAGAAAGTGTTTTGCTACAGAAATGCTTTAATTCTTACCGAAGCGGATCCGAGGAAAAACAAGTGATCACTAGTGAAACCATCCACAGACTCGATTTTCTCAGCATCGGTTTGTTTTGCAACATAATCCCGGTAGGCCTGTAGAACGAAATGATAACCACAGCTCTGATGCGAAAACATCACAGAGGGTGCCGTACGCAAAAGGTGGCTACCGTTCCCTGGATAATTGCTTTCATTTAGTCAGTAGTTGACAACCGCACTTTTTATTAAATTAATACGAGTAGTGCTGTGAATGTGCTGAAGAAATCGTTTTCGGAAAACCATGATTCTATCCACTTACAAATCACTGGCCTGTGAGCTATCGTCCACAATACGAACGAAAAGAGCAAAAGAATTGAAAAATTTTGGCGGCGAAACGATTGCACTCGCTTCTCGGAGTGCCCTCTCTAGAATCTCCCTCTGGCCTCTTCAACCTATAGCAATAGCAGTTTTATTTCCTCGTGAATGCTGGGTTGTGAACAAAATTTCGCTCCAGACGGGACTCGAACCCGCACCTCTTGCTTACTGGGCTGGTGCGCTACAAGTTACGCTACCGGGACCACCATTTCATCCCAACTCAGCTCTTCATGGTGTACTTACCGTAGCTTGTACACCATATTACCAGCTAATTTCCATATGGAGAATGGAAACTAGCTGGTTCAGATGAAATGCGATGAAATTAGAAGCACTAAAGCAGGGGATACGCTTTTAAGAGAAGTCGGCTCACAAGCGAGTCGAGACTGCACAGATGAGAGCAGGAAACAGTGCGACGAATCGTTTTTGAACAATTAAAATCTGTGTTGTTGCTGAAAATTGGGATGGAAAAACTACCAGTACAAATGTAAAAAATACACAATACCGGCAAAACGAGCAAGAAAAATCAGGGTATGCAAGTAGAAATATGCTTGTCTATCAAGTCCAGACGCTGGGAGGCTTTGCCCTAACACATCGGGAACAGCGATAGTTTCCCATCAAAGCACCGAATGGCAACCGATAATGACCGCATCTACACACTTCATAGGGATTTATGACTTCGTGCAGGCTACCGCTCACGTAAGAGGAGGCTACCTCCTTGGCGGCTAGCTTCTCAGGTTCCAGCTTTCCTGCAGCTAAATGCTAAATGATGGCACCTTTTTTGCCTTTTTGCTGCTTATGTATTTTATTTTGTCTGCCCGTGATTTCTTGGCTCACATCTTATCAGAAGTGCTCGTCGCCTTCTCGTAACCACATTTCAAACGGCCCTTAACACAGCACGAAATAGGACACAATAGAGGAATTAATAAACTATTACCCTGTAGGAGATTTTTAAACCTTCGTTATCGGCAGTGTTTTCCGCGAGTGTCAGTCTTCCTTCAGAGACATGTTGAATTTTGGAATCTGAAAAAATCAGCATTTGTTTGAAAAGTTAACGCGAAACAAAAACTAGAAATAAAAATAAACAAGTTTATGTATCAATAGTATATTGATGGGGGCACGAGGGCAAGAAAGGAGCTCATGACCATTCCGGTTCCAGAAGTATCCCTCAGCACGGATTTATACAGCAACTGGAAGAACCACCCTATCCCGTAACTCATACAGTAAGGAAGATACGGAAAACATTGAGAATGTGAGGAGGGATGAAAAAGGTAAAAATTGCCACAAACCTAAAAGGAATCCTGTCGTTAAGAAACAATGAGTCTCCTAAAAAAAATCCAATTTGCGAGATTGCTTGTGGATACTGAGGTCGTCCATTGGAATCGCCTTGTGAATCGCCACGCAGAGCCACGAAGCATAAGCCACGGAAAGCGCATTGTGAAATAAAAACGCGTGCGGGTCTGTGAACAATACGCCTTGCAGGCCACAATCAGCCGCGGCACAAGTCCTATAGATTCAGTGTCTCACGCCACAAAGCACACCTCAGTGAGGTCTACATGATGCGCCGTCAATTGTATATGCCACCCAATTTTTTCAGTTTTCGGACTTATTTGGAATTTCGTAATCGGGTAGCAAACCATTCGTTTTTCGGCGCCACGTGCGGAAAAACTAAGAAGGTTCTTGTTTGATTTTGGTAACGCGTTGATTTCAAATTGCTCTGTCTTTGGAAGAAATGGGCGTGTTCAATTGCCTTATGCCCATCCTTAAATTCTCGGAATTTCGCATGTCTCTAACGCTATTAAGCTACGGCAAGCAGAATCAAATGAGATCCTTGACGTTATGCAAGGCCACAAAATGGTGGAGCATTTATAACTAATTAGCTCAGCGAATATGAGTCCTGAATACTGTACGGATAGCAGCATAAAACGTTTTATCAGAGAAAGTGCTGATGTGCTCCTCTTGCGATCGCTCCTGCCTGCTTTGTGTAGAACTTATCGGAGGAGTGCTCATCCAGGCAAACGGAAAAATCCTAAGTGCTCAAAGAGCTATTAAATTCTCATTTCCCGCTTTGAATTCCTGTGTGGTCAACTTGATTGTCGGTCTCGGCGCACGAAGCTCAGCGTTCACAGCTCACAAAATCCGACTGTTAGAGAGAATATGGGTTGCACTACAATCGCCGTTAGTAACCCATCGCCGAACTTTGTCGGATTCTCTCCTGGAAAAATTTGTCGATACCGACAACGGAACGGGATAACATGAGCCGTATGTATTGGAACGGGACACCGAAGTGCGTGCATGGGCCATCATTGCATCGCCTTGATAGAAAACTTCGATGATCTTCTTCAGAGAAATCAGCGTGAAGCTCATTCATACACTTTATGGCAAGCTTCCAGCTGATATAACAGTGTCCTCAGGCTCTTAAAATGAATTTCAATATACACAAATTACACTGCTGAATTACCAAAAGCAGAACCTTCACGAAAGGTACGAACGCCCAGTCGGCCTTGACAACAATCGCTAAAATTCTGTAAACATATATAACAGAGTAAAAGCTTAAACACAATGCCAACGGAAGGAGCGTAGCCCGCACCACTCCCACACAATTAAAGTATATAGGAAATGCGATGGTGTGCTGACTAATCTAATGATTGTTTTTGATCGCCACGCATAAGATATTAATCTCTGCCTCCATGAAGCTCATCCCTTGTTGTTTCATTCTCGGGGGATAAGCGTTTATAGCGAGCTGCTTCGAGCAGCTCCTCTTAATGGGGCAGTCCCTCAGTTATGGTTAATATAGCACCTTTACAGGGTGGGGCGCTCTTGTCGGTGATAAAGTAAACGATGCCTGCCGAAAAACGCCACTCCTTGGTAAGAAGATGGAGTTCCGCAAGCGCTCGTCGCATGTTCCTCCATCCGTATATTGCTGCGGGCGTTTCGTCTCACCAACGTATTTCTGATCGCATCCATCGCATGCTGACAAGAATACATTCAGTACCACGTAACTGACAACACTTATTGCCGAGCACAAGACGTACAGTGTAATCCGGCCACATCGTTCTAATAAATTTCGTGATTTGCAACAAGCTGGGAGGTTAAGCAGGTGGTCGAAATACCAATTTGACTGCGAGACGCTTGACGACTTGATGACATGGCTTCCTTTCTTTGCTATTTTTTCATTCACGTACGGTAAAACCAGCCGGTGGTCTCGCTGCAGCATAGAAAGGAGAATATAGACGATGTTCTTCCGTTGTCGGCTCGACGCTACTGAAGAGAGACGCACACGATGCTTCAAAAGCTGAACTCGTGTGATAACCGAACATACGTTTCACTGTGGACATAGGCCAAGATGAATGCGGTTACCTCTCCGTTCCTGAACACGAGGGTACGTATTATCCCACGCGCACGAAAGAATTTGCATTTGGTATAGAAAATGTCTTCAAAGAATATCCTTATGCGATTCCTCGAATGCTCATCGCGTGTACATGAGAGCCAATGTGATAAAACCTGATCACGACAAAGACAAGACCAGTACTGAGAACAGAAGAGGTGGATCGAAGAAAAATTCGCAAGGGAATTCTGGAAGAAAAATGGTTATCTACGAGCGTATCAGCCAAGGACGTGGCGTCTTCCTATGCTTGCAGGAGGAACACTCGCTGGGCTTTCCACCGTACGGTGGAATGAAAGAATAGCAAAGAAGGAACCATGTCAGCAAGTTCGTCAGACGTCTCCGCAGTCAACTAGCGATTTCGACACCTGCTAACGCTAAAAAGCTTGCTGACATCATCCACGAATTTACATGAAGAACGATGTGGCCGGAAGTAACTGTACGTAACTGACGTCGACAATAAATTTGTCAGTTACGTATGGTACAGTGATATTTAGGTCACATGCGAATGGATGCGGTCAGAATACCGTATGTGAGGACCGAAACGCCCGCAATGATATACGGATGAAAGGAACATGGGCGGAGCGTGCGGAAATCCACTTCTTACTCAAGGAGTGCGTTCTCGCCGTTATCGTTTACTTTAATCACCGGACAAGCACGCCCCACCCTTAAAGTTGTATATAGACACCGCACGAGGGATGCCCATTAGAGAGGAAGCTGCTCGCAAGCACTTGCTATAACAAATGCTTATCTCGAACGAACAGGATGAGCTCATGAGCACTGAGATTAATATCTCTTAGCGGTGCGATAAAAAACAGTTCATTCATTAGGTCACGCCACAATCGCAGTTCTAATCTAACTTTTTAATTGTGTGTATGTCCCGGGGTAAGCCTGCCTTCCGTTTCGCATTGTCGTTGAACAGTTGGCACTTCTGTATATAGTTGTTTTTACAGAATTAGCGATTGGTGACCAGAACTGGGTTTAGTCTACTTTTCGTGAGTTATGCCTATTGAGTAATTCGTGTAATGTATTTTGTATTGAATACATAATTCTTTAGGCCGTGGAAGAAGTGTTTTACAGCGAAAGCTTGCCAATAAAGTGTAGGAATGAGCCTTAACTGCTGATTTCTTTGTAAGGAAATCTTGACACAAATGGAGGCTCCAGGATATCTCGATTTTATCATAACTGTCGATGAGTTAGTGATGGGTACCAGACTCGTAGCTAGATGCGAGTCATATTTCTCTGAACAGAAGCTTTGTGAGCGTGAATGCTTCGAGCATAAGCAGAAGCCAAGGCCACAAATAAAGTGGACACGGATCGAAGCGGGAAATGAGAATTTAAGAGCTCCTTGAGCACTTCAATCTTCCTAAGCTTTTGCCCTGGATACACTCTCGAAGGAGGTCACCATAACAGCAGGAGCGATCGCCCAAGAGTAAACACACCAGCACTTTCTCTGTGAAAGCGTTTTCTGTTGCTATCGTCAAGTATCTGAACTAATAGTCCCGTACTAAATGGTTATAAATGCGTCACCATTGTGTCGCATTGCATTAATGAGGCATTTTTCATTGGACCTGCATAAACACCGTCGATGAATACAGGATAGAGCAGGGAGAATTCTGAAGAAACTTCTGGAGTGAGGCATAAGCAACCTGACGCGCCCATTTTCTTCAAAAACACGGCAATGAATATTCAACGCGTTAAACCAAATCAACAACGCCATTCTTAGTTCTTCTGACACGGCTTAAAGCGATGGTGCTATTCGAATTTACGAAATTTTCAAATAAGTCAGAAAAATGAAAAAAGTCAGGGGGTGCATATACAATATCGCGCACTGTAGTCGTGCGCTTGTCAGTGGAAACAGCAGCATTGCACACTTATTTACTGATGAAACTTGTCCAACGTAGAATTGCACCTTTGGAGCACCGCTAGCTCAGCAGCACGAGGCCTTTCGCGAGTAAGTTGATGAGGAGCAACGCAATTTTCCTATGCCCGGTAACCGACTTGTTTGTAAGGCGTATCAGGGTATTCTGGCAAGAAATTGTGAAGCATATTCATCTCGTCTCTTCTTGTGGACTCGAGTCAAATTCGAAAGGAATAATTTGACTATGATTCGAATTTTAAGGCCGGACTTTGCGATTGGTGGATTCGCAAAGTCTGAGAATCTGCTGAACCTGGATCAAAGGCTCAAGATCGATACCGATGGTCTATTCAGCCATCTTCCAGGTGACAGTTATTGGTCGAAAGAGATGGAATCATTTCGATAGTGTGCGATAGGCAATGACGCTAGGATCGTAATACAAATGTGATGTCCGGCTTCAACTGCACTGTGGCCTAAACTGGTAGTCCACTTCGCCTCCTATTTCTATTGGTGAATGTGATAAGCATCCCTTCTTGGTCGTGTAATGTGACTAATAAAATCCGAACTTGTCGTGACTTCACTGAACCGTTCAAATGCTTTACGTGATGCAACTATGTAGCTTCAGTATTGTGTCACGATGCCTCAATTGGAAGACACAGCTTGTGATTAACGCTTTGCAAGCCCTTTTAAAAGCGTATTGCACTGAATATTTAACGTTGAGAATGGGGAATGTGTATACCACATGGCGTGGTTGCTTCAGCTGCTGCTCCCCCACTGGCAGGATCTTGCCTTCTCAGCCGAGCGGGAGCGCGGAAACTCCACGCCTAATTCAGCGTTGTTGAAACGACCAGTGCGGAAATCAACAGACAGACCAAAGGTGAAGCTTAGGCCATTTTCTTCGCTCATTTCTTAATTATTGCACATTTACCCTACTTCCATTTTCATCAGGCAACCATTTCATCGTCCTATCTGCCTTTGAGCTTTGAACTGAAGGGTTAAGGTTCCCCTGCCTCTACCTTATTGTCCATCTTATATCCAGTGGTCAGCAGGTCTTCCAAAAATGTAGTGCTGGTTCAAACAAATGATTCCTTTCCAAAACTACCACTACGACTTTCTCAACGGGAATCGTTCAGGTAACGTTCGACTCGATTGGGTGTTGTACCACAATAATTGTTCGCAAAGTCATAAATGAAGCTAGTGTTTGCCATGGAGTGGTCCCGACTGTGATCTAGTACTGTGATGATTCATGTTTGCTTCACTTTCACTTTTCCGTACTGTTCCACATAGCACTCTGCCTTTTCGTTGAACTGTTTTATCCATTCCTTTCCACCAATCTCGTTCTACTCCTTTCCCATCGAAACGTCTACCTGAATATGTACATGTAATCACGCAGTACTGCGCCCTGTATACAGAGGCAAGAGTGGTGGCTAATCGCAGATGTGAATGACTATCATGATTACATTGGCTTTTGGAAGCATGACGGTATTTCGACCGAAATTTTCATTTTTAGACATTATTGTTTATTTGTTGAAAGCTAATCTCATCGGACCAAGGACGGAAAGTGGTGTAGTGCGGACCAGGGCACGCTTACTACGCAGCGGGGATGAATAAATCCTGGTGATAGGTGAGTGCAGGGGCAACATTTTGTTCATCCGCGGAGTCGGCAAATTGTACCACTATGGCTACGGGAGGATAAATATACACTGCACTGTATATAGGCGTGGGCATCCGCCGAGGTGTATACGCCAGCATCGCATTACAAAGGGCCACACGAATTGGCAAAAGTGGAAGTGGTAATGGGATGAGCGCAGTCCAGAATGGATGATCCAAAAGACAATGCTTTTATCCTTCATCTTATATTACCGCATCGATAGTGCGTAAGACACAGTGTCAGACGTTACATCACTAAGGCGGATTGAACTCTTTCACTATTATTTTGGGTTCATCAATACGATTCTTGATCTGTTCTGGATTCAGTTATCTTACTAATTCAGGGCATTTCGTGGCTAACGACCATGGAGCACATACGGATGTACTTTGTCTCACTGAGCACTGCCAGTGTGTAAAACTGAGCACAAAAGGATAAAGGTTGTGTAATTGTCCAAAGTAAGAATATAAAAGTAGGTTGAGAATTCAATAAATACACTGAAAAATACCGATTACCATCTGAAGCAGGCTGTGAAGAGATTTAGTGGGCAATGGCGAAGCCAACGGGTTGCCATTACAAGTTAGGCTCTGTAAACCATGCCATTTAGGGGTGAAATAGTCTCCAACCATTAAAAAACTCATTACATTATATAAAACCAGACTATGTGCGTGCGGTTTGTCATTTGGGTGGTGTAGCGGGCTGCGCCGTCCGGACCAAACCAGCTAAGGAACCGCAGAGAGTCGAATGGTATAACCTCGCGCGATGACTTCATGATCATGATAAGACACCCACAGCGGTATACATATAAACACCTATCGAACACACTTAGCCTCATTCTACATGATGCTGCCGTGGCAGCCGGAGGTGAGAGTGGAAGGGAGAGGGGGCAGGAGGAAAGAGAAAGGGCGGGAAGGAGGGAGGGTAAGAAAGGGGATAGGCGGGGGAGGGAGGAGGGGGAATGGAGTGCACCGCTTTTAAGATTACGGTTCGATCTGGTGTCAAGGTATTATTGCAACGTGAGTGATGATACCTCAACGGCTGTATAAACTACTTATGGTTCGTACATTCAGACATTTCACAAGGTGCTGCAGTGGCAGCTGTAGAGCAGTAGGGGAAGGAGGGGAGACAAGGTGAGGAGGAAGATCGCCAGCCTCGTAGGGAAGGGAGGGTCCGGCGGTTGCCGTCGGACCAATCTGGTGCGTGATAACGTGGTCAGCAATTGGGAATCAATCTATGGTTGCAAGGGTTGCAAGAGGTGCACCAACAAATACAAAGCTGGGGGGGGGGGAGAACGGCCTCAAACCCACAAAAGGGAAACCTTGTTTTCTTCGTTTGTTTTCGCCTTAGAGTGAATCTCATCGGTGCTGACGCCAAAAAACCATTAGAAAGACATACCTCGGGAACTTTTCGTCGAAAAATGGGATAATCCAGGAACGGTAACGGTATCACTGAAACAAACCAGACATAAGTTGCACCGTTCTACAATGGAAAGTCTTTTTCTGCACATCTTTCGTCGCATTTATGCACAACTTGTTGATGTTTGAGCTTACAGATTAGAGCTTTGCATGACACACTTCTAACTCTTCGATTTTGCGGTTCCTATTCTATCCAGGGCCAACCGTCCGTTGGTCAAAGTCCAACGAGGGGGTGGGAGGGTCGTATTTGCGGGTGGAAAAGAGAGGGGGTCGTATTTCGCGAGGTAGCGTTAATGTTATAGTAAGGGAGGATGATTCTTTTATGGGAATGTGTAGAGCGAATTAGGTTTAGGCTGGGATTTTGCGTTGAGTTGTGACTGTGGAAATTTTGCCGTTCACATTTCGACACATTCGCTACACACCCCCCCCCCCTTACCCCTCCTCCAGCTCCACGGCAATTTCGGTGGGAAAGGTGCGGAGGCGAGTTGGGGCTGGGTCGAGAGTCTCGAATGAAAACTGGAGAGTCCGCCCCCATTGATGGCCGATAGGCGAGGCGAGGGTGGTGGAGGGTGACAGTGAAGGGTAATTCACGGATAAGGCATTCGAAGGCCGAAGAAAGGGGGAAGGCCTAGTTGGTACAATGGTGGACCTCCTTGGGCGGTGCTGCACGAACGCGCAACCCTCGAAGGGGCGAGCGTTATCGGGCCTGAAGGTGAGGGGGGGTCGTAGAATTGCGAACTGGTCCAACGTTAACGGATGACCCTGATTCTATCTCCTTTCTCGTTATGAACGCACCATTGTCAGCGAAACGTTATTCACATTGTTTGTGTATGAGCGAATTCACATAAGAAATGGAAGTTCCAGAAGGAGGAAATGCGCCTTAGTGGTATACTTAGCGTGGACTCCTGGGTTAGGGTACTGACCAATGTGCGCAATTGGCAGTGAAATTATTTTTTGACCTTGATTTCACTCCGAGCCATAGCTCAATATTTTTTGGACGGTTAAGGCGAGTGGTACGCTCACCGACTATGCTATCTAAAGGTCTTCACTAGCCCGCAGATTTGTTGGCGTGATTAGATTGTCGGTTTGGTCGTACACCGACTCACGGCATCACGTCGATGACATCTTCAAGTACGATGGCGATCTTGAGTTTCATCCAGAAAAAGGGAGCTGCTTCGGAAGCTCCGAATGGTGATACTTCGGGCAGAATGCAGGGGCTAGTGGGAGCCTGTTGGGCGTCAGTGCACGTTTCTTCTATGATGCTTTACCCAGCAAATATTTCAACAGGCGTTCAGCGTATTGCTGCCACTGTTGCAATTCTTACCGTTGTACATTAAACTCGTAAGGTCAGCCACCAGGTAAGCAAACCAGCCCTTTTGGCGTTCGGCTGGACTGTATGCTGAGTTGGGGAGGGGGATTAGGGTCGCCCAACGGCGACGGTTTACTTCAACTCGTTAGTTACGATAGGAGAGCACCTGGGCAAGTGGTGCACCCGGTCCAGCAGCTCGCCAGAAGGCTTGGCTTTATTACCTCATTTGGCTAAGCCTTGTGAGACGAGGACGAGACCATCGTCTCTCTTTAAGGCGTTAGTTCGAGGTGAAGCGCCAAATTGTAGCGGTCCTTACAGGATAAGTTGAAGTGATCCTCCACTCATCAGACACTGCATCCCCTCCCCAAACATTTCAGCATACGTCCCCACCGAAGGCCAAAGGTGCTGGTTTGCTTACGTCCAGCCCAACTGCAGTATGTATAACAGGTGTTCCAACGACGGTATGGACGTTTTCTTCTGTCTCGAGTAAGTACATCACAGCCATTCTGTCTTCCGAAGCTATAAAGGAACTTCATTTGGGAATTGATCACATGGGTTATCTCGGTTTGATGGTGATAATCTTCCGCTTTAGCTAATGGATGTGAAATTCGCCATCAATACATTTTATGAGCTGGCAGGAAGAACTTCTACAGCAAGGGAGGTCTTTCAGAGTGCTGCCCAAGCTTTTTTTCAAACGGTCTTCTGCATCTGGTCTGATATTAGAGGCACATGCGAGAACCACAGAACCATGCGTTGATTTATTCGTGGAAGGGCCCTTGAATACCAGAGAAGGGGGCGTCCTTAGTCACACTTTTTGTCACCAGTTTTTCAACCAAGTCTATTTCTAAGGCCACTGACTAACCTAATCATGAATTTGCGTACAATTATTCATGCTAACTCCATTTTGCGCGAATTGCGAACGTAAACGCGATATTGGCAAAAACTTGTGGGGTCACCACGGAGAATCGAACAGGTACCCCACTTTTCTGTATTTCAGAGGGCCGCCCTCAGGAAACGACCAATGTTTCTGTGTCCCCATTAGGTGTCCCAATGTCATACAAGAAACCATTTTGAAAAAGCTTGGCACACCCTGAACGACCTCCCTTGTAAGCAGTGATGTTCGTTCAGAAGTTAATAACGAAGCTATAAGTGCTTGTAAAATGATCCTATGTAACCACAAAGGTTCCTTCGATTCGACGCCCTGTACAGTGCAATGGTCAATAACGTATTACGGCAGAACAGTATCAAAATTTCATACAACTGGAGCTAATTGAGAAAAGGAGAAGTTGCAGTAGAGGAATTGCTTCGCCGAAAACATTTATGCGCCACTGTATGGTAGGATTACTGCGTAGAATAATCAGTCGAAGAAGGAATCCGTTCAATCCAAACTCAACGCAGTTCTAATTTAAAATCACATTGAAAATACAATTAAGGCTTAAAAATGCTTGCTTGCTCTCGTAACAATTTCAAGAGTATTAGAACAATACTGTTTCGTTTCGGAACGGCAGAATGTATTTTTCAAATATTCAAGGAACCTACTTATGTTGTTGAGAGATGGCATGTAATAGGCATTAACTTGATAGCCCATTTTACTAAATGTTCTATACACTGCCCTCAGTTCCTCCATAGAAGTCATTTTCACAACCGCATTGAAAGAATCTATCTTTTCTAATAAAGCAACTTCATCCAGCATATCGAGAAAAGGTCGATTTACTAGCGATGAATGCTGAAAGAGAGCGCTCACTATTGTAGACCGTGGTATTCAGCAAAGAACTCGTGCACTTTACCGCGGCATATAACATGTCCAATGCAGAATCGTTGTAGAACAAATGATCGTCAAGAAGGCTCCAACTGATTAGATTCACCTTTTCTAACACAGCCTGTAAAATGGAATTTGAACAAATTACTATACATCAATATATGCCCATCTATACCAGCTTGTCTTTATACATATATAAGTCACACGTATACTTTGCTACGCGCTTGTTGCGGGCGCCTTGCGGCGGATTTAAGGAATCCTTTTCGGATGTATTTCACCCAAAATTCACTGACATGGGACCCATGGCTCACGACAAGAACGAAAAGATCAAAAAAAATTGCGTTTCTTTTGATAAAAAAAATCAAAAAGCCGAAATGGCTGCTACGCGTTCAAAGTACTGCCGGACATCTGTCACAAATACTGATGACGAAAATGCTTGCACTTGGCTCTTGGAGTACTGTCACTAGAATTTCCTCCTGGCCCTTCGACGTGCTGCATTAACATTTCACACTTCTACTGCATCATATTCTATCGATCGATTTGTCTCTGCTCTCCGGAATCGCATGCTTTAACCTCACTCCTTCATTGTGTCGCCTGATACGTAGCCGCCCCAAGGCGGACTTCTTCCCATTTGGCTCCGCGCCACTTACCTTCGATTGTCCATACACCATGGTTTTGTAAGTTCGTTTCTCCACGAAAAACTGAATCTTCGTGCGTGAAACTTTGCATGTTGCCTCTAGTTACCACAGCTGATTTACGTGTTAGGAAAGAATGCAAGGTTTTTCCGGGAAGGCTTCCTTTATCACACTTGCGATTCCTCCACCTTTTCGGCTGACTTCAAGGAATCCCAATAAAAGTGCTGAGCGAGCCGTTGAGCCTAGGACATCATTTTTAGATGAAAAAGCCACAACTGGACTCTCGAGGTAGTGCTCTACCGATTTTATTGGAATTAGAAACAATGAAAAGGAAAAGGAGGAAGCGAAGACGAAGAGCACCGATTCACTTGACACGTGCTGTTATGGTTAGTGGAGATGAGCTAGTAGAAAATTTCTGGAGAAAATTCGACCTAGACGCGAAGGTTGTCCACTACCGCAAGCGCTCTCTCGTGATGTGAACTCGAATTGTGCTTTGTATTCGCTTGTCGAAAAGTAACAGCAGCCTACCGAAATTCTCCTCCTGCCTGTTCCAAATCTCTGCGAGAAATTTCCTCTTAAGTGATGCAACTGTAAGAAAATCGTTATAAACCTGCTTAGGTGAATATGGCAGTTTTTGAATCGCAGATTATTGCAATTTACCTCTACCAGATAGTCGCCCCGCATACCGCCGGACTTTCCTTTGATGCGCAACGTCTTATTCTATCGTCCGCTATGGCCCTTCCAATCCGTGACACACAATCTACCTTCCACCTGAAAGTGACGCGTATACAACACAATAGGTTTTCACTATAAATATGAGAAGGGACTACATATCATAAATATGACACGTAACGATTTTTCGCTTACCCTTCCTCATCCTCTCCTAATCTCTCTCCACTCCCTCCAGCTGCCAAACTGCAGCATTCCATGTGAATTAATGAAGTGCTTAAGCAGTGCTTTGATTAAGTCCCTTGAAAGTGTAATCACAACTATTCACTGCTAACCAAAAACATTGATATCTCAAATACCTGTAAGCCTAACCAAGCATCTATATCGTTTGTTTATATACCCACCCTTAAGACTTCCTATCTCACTCACTTCATTTTGCAGGACGAAATCACATCATACAATATCACACAACCACACATACACACGACATAACAATACCAAAACCGACACATCAAAGTTAGCGCTTTATATAAATAAAGGATAATTATCAACTAGGAACACTTCTCTCAGTTGAGAATTGGATGATTTCAGACTCAGCAGGTGGGCAAACTTACAATGACAATACACGTAGACTCGAGGTAGCCTTCTTCTTTATCTTCCTAATCGTTACTCCGCACAGTCGCCCCAGGATCGCTGTCCGCCACTTCTATATCGTCGCAATGGCATCCTCTCGCTGTGTCATAAGATTTCCACGTAATCCTTCTTAATATCACGCATTGTCCTCCACCACCTCTTCTTTGGAGCTCCTACTGCGGTCGCCTTGCGTTGCTCATCGAAGTTTACCATCGATTTCCTTTGTCGAGTGAATCCTTGCGTCCTAAAGCACGTGCCTCATGCCACATGCAGCCCGTTGCTCTTACGCATTATTTGAATTGGCACCTCAGGATTACCTTTACAGAATGTTCTGATTAAATCTCCATTTTTGCAACACAGGATTCCGCGCCTAAGTCGTTTACCTTCTAGCGCGTCCAGCGCAGTGCCCACCTCAGCATGCTTTCCCATCTTCATCTCATCTCAGAGTGAATCTGTCTTTCGTGATTTTTGTCAAGGGCCAGCACTCTTTGCCGAATAGCATCGAAGGCCTACTCACTTTCCGGTACACCTTCCTTTAGCGTTCTCGAGCGCCTTCGTCTTCTTACCAGCGGACGATTTTGGTTTGTCTTCCTCCACTGCCAATTTCTGCGTCTTAATTTTTGCGAAGAACGTGCTGCAGATTGTCAGACCGTGAGCTGCAGCCAAGTACAGAACCCTCTTTCCCTCGGCTGTACCTCTACTTCCGTGCTTCCTCTTCAGACCTTTTCTACAGCCGCCGACGTGAATATTCAAATCACATACTACGGTGAGATAATCGTCGTCCGGAATCGATCTGATGGCATCGTCATGGCGACAGAACAGGTCCCCACATCTAGGGCATCTGGCTTGCGGGGCGTAAAGGGAGTACCCCTCTTCGGTGCCTGTCCGCACAGCCGTGTTTCGATCGCTGATCCTGCTCGCAGCAGACGTAGTCCTTGAGCGGGTCCGCCACCGTTATTACCACGCCGTTCGGATGGGTGTTTTCTCTATTGTAGTATATTTCGACACCGTCCCTAATTTTCCTGGCCCTAGCCCCTTTCCACCCCGTCTCCTAAAAGCATAGGACTTGGATACTCCCTCGCGTCATCAAATCAGCAACCTCTCTAGCCTTCCCAATTAGCGATTCTGCGTTTAGAGTCTCGCTTCGAACTAGCTTCTCTGGCCGATGCCATGCACTCCTCGGTAGCCCTCACACACTGACTACAGATTTCGGGCAGGGTTCTGCGCGCCACTTCCGGTTGGCGTCTTAGCATTACCACTGGTACCTTTTCGACTTCAGGCATATTTTTGTGGCTTGGGTCTTCATCAGCCCGCCTGGCAACCTGGGATTGACTCTGGTGTTGAAACCATTTTTGAAGTTTGTGCAGGGCATGGTGAGGAGCCTCGGCAAGGGTCGAACTCGCGCCTTAAAGGGGTTCAGAATTGATGTAGGTCGAATGGACTACACACTTTCAGAATAGACCAAGATCGACTCTCCATTAATCTCGGCATAGTACTGGTATTCAAGTTTGTTTTCTTATGCAGCCTCCGCGCTTTTATTTGACAGACGTTTCGGCTGAATCGCCTTATTCGGAGCCCTTAAACGACGGTGGAGCTGTAGAAAGGGGCCTCGTACAGCTCCGACCGTCGTTTAAGGCTCCGAAGAAGGCGATTCAGCCGAAATCGTCTGTCAAAATCAAATAAAAGCCTATATCAATCTCGGAGGCTGCATAAGAAAACAAACATGAATACCAGGACTACACACTATTTTTGATGTTCGATTTTTAATTTTTTGTTGTGCCATTTCTTCAGCTTAAAGGCAAAACTCGGGATAAAACGTGGGCGCTTACCTTTTCAACTATGAAGTATGGGTGCTAAGTGAATCAAAGCTAAAGAAAAAAGCAAGGAACTACTTTCAAAAAAGTCCAAAGGGAGCAATTTCTCTTCGTTAGGCGCTCTAGAAGCCAGTGCGCTGGGAGAATTACGTGTCTGGACGCGTCCACAGCAACTGTTGGCTTTATGCCAGCAACCGACACGGCTAACAAAAAAATCAGCAGTTGAAAACTGATTGGCCTCTAATTCGCTATTTTTACTATTTACCTTTACGTTTTTTTTTTGTTTTTTTCTACTCTTCAAAAAATTTGATTATCGCAGACATGAGATGAACTAGGTCCGGCATAATGGTCTTAATATAGTCTTTGATGTTGGTTTTCGCCGTTGCGATTCGCCAAATATTGCTCTACGACCTTCCAAATAACAAATAAACATCTAGTGTTCATGTGGTTTGTTGGAAGGTCGCATGGAAAAATGGGTGGGCTCAATAGGGTTGGGGGCGGCGCCAATGCCTCCAACGGGCCTCCTAGCGCCCTAAACCTTGTCAAATCGCCCCGCCACTTCTGCACATGGCCTGTTCTGTGCGCACTGCATATTTGACGGGGAAATCCTAAATTTCGCCGGAAATCCCGAACTTTGCCTTTAACCTTTTCCTTCCCTCCAGTTGCTCACTAACACCCATGAAAAAGAGAAGGTTTAGGATTAAGGCCGGCAGACCTCGAAATACAGCAGATCAAGTGATGTACTTACTTCACTTGACCTGGCAACACTTTCTGAAAGCTGGTTCATTTATTCATGGCTGCTCATCTCGAAGGATGTCTCACTCACACTTCAAGCACGAATATTATGAAAGTTCTGAAGAACACATCCAACTGCTCCCATTGAGAAATCAACCATTGGAGAAGTTTTGATTTTCATATCCGGCTTGTGAAACTGTGTTATTCTTATGACACGGCGCTTATCTCGATCGAACAGCAATCAGTGTTCCTTATAGCATCATATCCTGCAAGGCCCGTTAGGAACTTATTCGCGACGAAACGTCCTAACCAAATTCTAGCGTGATTCGACACTGCGACATTCCTTGCGAATCTTTTGCTATAATATCGAATTTTGAAAGCTGGTAGCAGCTCTGCCTTTGCCTCTGCCTAACGAATTGCGAGCGAAACACTCAAAGAATTTTCTCAGGCAAGAATAAAATGCTGCGTAAAAAAATGTGTTAGGAGTATGATTTTGCGGAGTGGATAGAGCAGCTATTTCTAAAATAATGAAGATAAAAAACTACTGCCCTTTTGAACTGAAAGTTTGTTTTGTTATTCAGAACTGTGCTCACATGCACCACATTTTCACCTCGAAGCTTTCTCAAAATGTTTTCAGGGACGAGTTTTTAGAGAATTTGTAGGAGGAAGTATCATTGTGTGGCCCGGTTACGTTATACTGGGTGAGGCCAGGACATGGTTGGTGGGTGATGGGAACTGATAACGACTGAGGGAGCAGATAGTAGGGCTTAGAAAGCCAATGATGTCAGTTTCTTTTTGTCGTTGATTTTGGCATAATAGCGTCTGTACTTACACACATGTATATGGGGGGTGGGACATGGACATTGTTGGTGGGTGACTGAAAGTGATAACAACTGATAAGGGGTGATGAACCCTTCAAAAGACAAAAGTCAGTAAAGGTCCAGAACGCAAGTGTAGCGAAGGGACCGGAGTATTTGGTTGGTACAAAGTGATAACAACTGACCCGATAAGAGCGATCAGTTTGAGAACGGAGGAGTCACTAAAGGTGTTATTCAGATGCGAGATAAGAGAAGCAATTCAATCCATTCCTAATATCGTCGTCAACATTGCCATACATTCGACGACAAGTCTGATCGAGTTTCTCGCGATGCTCGGGGTCAGTGGAAGTATACAATAAGCACCGCGTGGGAAATTATTCAATTCTTAAGCTATCCCAGAATTAATGGCGGAAGTGGTGTAGTGACAAGTGGCGCGCTTGCCACGCGAGCGGTCCGGGGATCAAATCCTGGGTCGTGAGTCGCCCGGGCCAACCGAGCCTTCCATCCCTTCGGGGTTGGTTAATTGGTACCAGACCTGTCTGGGAGGATAAAAACCTGACTTGAACATCGGCTGGCCCCCGCAACTCATTGTATAGGCCACACCGCATTCAAATGCCACTGCGAATGTACAAATGGAAGTAGAATGCGTGCCGCATCCCAAGACGGGATTGATCAACGGCAAAAGCTTTATCCTTTTTATTTTTCTCCCATAATTATGCCAGTTGTTACGAAGTTCACGACATAATAGTACATGACTTGCTAGCGAATTGGTAGGTATTGGGAACAGCTGCTCTACCACCAATCTTAGGACTGTGGATTATAGCAGCAGGACGGCGTTAGCGTTTTTGAGCGTGGAGTGGGTGTATGGAAGCTAAGATAAGGCGATAAGGATCAATAAAAGAAGCTTTATGAGCTGTGCATATTAATGAGTATCACTTGCTACTCGCAGTGATGATAATGCAACACAAGTTGATGAGATCTGATGTTGACGACGCCTAACAGATTAGGCTACTGATCAAGCCTTCCAACAATAGTTGCAGCATTTCATTTCGGCTACACTACAAACACTACAGCTTAAGTATTTTGAGGCACATGGTGTTGGAACCCATTTTATGTCCCAAGTAAATGGTAACAAGATGTTTTGTCACCACTGAACAAGCTGGATTTTTGGTGATTGTTGTGGCAGAGGACGCTTGCAACTCACCTTGGAGCTGATGGCAAGCAGTAGTAATCTTAACGCTTATTCAAAGCTTATTTAGCCGCTAGACTATGTTATTTTATAGAAAAATCGTAGATGTCCATGGGTACTGACAAGCGACGAAGTGACTTTCATCACCAGCACTTTAGCAACCTTTCGTTACCAACATCAATTAGATCCATTGGAAGCATGCAGGCTGCTTAACACATGAGCCCAAGGTTATACTCAATTCCACTCATGCACATTTTAGCACGCGCGCGGTGGCGAGCAGAGCCAAACTGATTTTCAATATATAGCTTCATTCAAGTAGTTTACAAAATAGCACCTTTTTGAACTTCTCGTCCATCCATTTGTTCTCTCTGATCTCTTCTTTAAGACCTTCAATAATCCCCTTGACCATATCTAGCGCTACTTGTCTTAGGACCTGAAATAGGAAATCGTGCTCGTTATTGATTTATATCATTTTCCAGTTGCCTAGTTACCTTAGACAAAGCCTCCTCGTTCAGATTTTTCGAGGAAGTTTGGTATGGAGTTTGCGCTCAAGAATGAAGGGGATAGAAGTTAAAAACAACTATGAAGAGAGCAAGTGAACAACAAGAACCCTCGAAAGCACATTCCAAAAACGCATTCCACGCTTAGAGGCCGTAACACTGCCGCGACTCAAACGTGTGCGGCAAGGGCGCTAAAGCCTTGGCTTGCCCTCTGCCGCTGCCGCCCCTCTATCATTAGTACGTGGCGCTTGCGCCCTCTCATGACGTGCTCTCTCGCCTTCTCCCTCTCCTCGTAACGCTGTCTCTCCATCATACCGCGGCCGACCTCACATGAGACATTCTAGTATTTTCTATGGTGGGTTTTGTATTTTCCTACTAACGTTCTTCATCCCACTTTCTGTCTAATTTTTGAATAAAATAACACTCGATCCCGATTTGTGCCTTTGATTTCAGTGGGGGAGGATCGGGTGCCTTTCTGCAGGTTCGTAGCCATTGTGCTCATCTTTTTGAACGTCATCATTTGTCACCTCGACTCGTTTTCATTGGTATCAGCTCATGACGAATTTCTCCTCCAAGAGGAGGTTAGTCTACATACATATCCCGGAGCGCTTTGGATAAAACGGAATGCGCCAGGACACAAGGAATATCCTTTACGAAAGACCATAACGATGGGATCATACCTTTTATGACAGTTCCTCCCGAATAAAGAGATTCCATATGTCGAGGAGGGGCTATGACTGGAGGTGGCTGGGTAAACAGAGAAGCGATGTCACCTGGACGGTTTCTGTTGTATATTGGCATGAAACAAGTGACTTCGTCATTGAGGCATATCCTAAGTACGTGGAGTGTCACGCGAAAAAAAAAACATGGCAAGGAAGGGATGGACGCTGTCAGAAGAAATCATTTGCAAACGACAGCAAGAACAAGCTAGAAAGTTTACAGAACCGAAGGATAAATGACTAACACACGGAGGTTTTAATCAATAGTAGGCGTTTATTATAACGTAACGGGCACTGATAAAAATCATAAGCCTAAATTTTAATCCGAAATGGATGAGTGTTTTCGCTTAATGAATGAGCAGTCACAATATATCAAACTAACATGCGGAACCCCTAAAGACGGTTGGCTACCCTGAACATGCAGGTCAAAGTATCCACTGGCATCGCACATGTAAAGTACATAGTGTAGAAGCAGCTCGAGGAATATTTTGATTCACGCGACATCGGCGCATCCTATTGCCGTCAAACGTGCTGTTGTTAACAGCATCTTCAGAACGGCTACAGGAATGCACAATGTGCACTGGTAATGTCGAGCGAGCAGAATCACGACACCTCGCTGCGGGATCAATACCGTGAGAGAATGGCTAAAAGGCACCACATCCTACAATACGGCAGCATGTTGGCCCGCGAGAGGTGCCGCGTCGAAATAAACTGCCCTTGTGCATCCCTTTCAAATCGGATAACGTTGGCACTGCGACCCATCGGTGCATAACAAGAGCCCAATTGCAGGAAGATGTCTAGTCGGTGAATATTCCCATGAAAACATCAAACGGCAATTGGTTCGGAACAGACTTTATGACAAACAGTGCATATCCGAAAATTGCGTTGTCTGCCCGCATGGAAACTTGGCGATTGTGCTCATGTTGGAGCAATATATGAGATTCAATGTCAGGCATGTAACGCTACGTACATAGGAGAAACAGGAAGGGTTTTAGCAATTCGTATCAAAGAACATCTTGCTAATTTGAGACGCCTACTGTGATAACACCTTTGGGAAGACATAGGGTTGAGGAGCATAATGGGACTGAATACGAAATAAGGTGCACGCTACTGGCTCAAAAGACGGAAATTTCTGCGCGAAAGGTATTAGAAGCATTCTGAATATTCACTAGAAATCCAAGAGTGAACAGTGTCCTTCAATAATAAATGATCTACTGCCGTTCATTCCGCACTGCGAGCTGTAGAATGACAGAGCGTTGCGTGAGTCTCCTGACTACGACGGTGAGTTTATTTCTAGCACTGTTCTGATCTTCTCGAGGGTTTCTGACACGACTTTCGAAATCGCTAGAGTTGATGAGGCGCTTCGTGGTGTAGAGCGTAAGTCTAACGCTCAAAACACGTTCAGGCCTCTAAAGACGACGATTCAGTCGAAACGCTGGGCCATTAATAAAAGTCCCACCGAACAACCTCGTAAGGCACAAGAAATTTATCAAACTCACAACTGACATGCCGAGGTTACAAGAAGGGAGAACTTGGTGAATTCATGAAGTTGAAGTTGATTTTTGCCTTTTCTGCGTTAAATACTTGCCTCCCGCACCCCTTCACTCTCATTCGACGCTACCACCCCGTGGAGCCATTTTGATTGTTCTAATAGTGATTGTACCGTGATTGTTGCGCTTATTCTACACAGTCCCATCATTATGATGGATTGAAAGCGCATGAACAAATTGCTCTCCAGTTCTGTTATCAATGTGCTTTTCTTATTGCTCTAAAACGTTGGCGAACACGCGGGTTTTGGAGTGTCTGCCGTGGAGGACCAAGGGAAACCAGCTTTTTTTTGCAAAAGGTTTTCTAGAAGGTAAGAAATAAACGCCGAGATGCGGATCGAGGGAGATGTTCTGCAAGACCGATTCTCCTTCGATGAGAGATACGGACCTGATCGTGATACTGCTGAGACAGCAGATGCCGTCGACTATAGCATTTTTTCCGTTGAATGGGGTCATTACATTAGATCACATGTGCAAAAGTGAGAGCTCGATGTAGAACTCATGGGAGCTCCTTCTGTACTGAATGCTTCTACAGCCACAAATCATGTGAGAAATCTTAATTCTTAACGGCGTGGTGTTATGTTTAGTGTTATTTCTAATTGTAGCGAGACACCCAAAAGAAATACCTAATGCAATTGAATCTTATTAGCCTCACAAACAAAGACAGAGTTGAGTACAGAAAAAAACAAAAAATACAAGCATTTCAATAATTGTGGTGCCGCCCGACATCGGGTGCCATTGCGCCAATGTGTTGATTAACACATGAGGTGCACATTGTGGAATGGCAGACAGACAAAGCAAGAAAGTGGATAGTCATCGGATAACTCCTTTTAGCACTCGTAACATTCCTTTAAAATTTGCAAGGGGAACTGCGGCCAAAAACAGCAGGTAACAAACAAGCAAAAACAAGTCAAAGTCCTTTTAGCGTTTTTTTTTCAGGGAACATACTTATTTTGCAAAGTATGGCACTGATAGGTGACGACCAAATGCTGAAAGTGCAACGGGACTTTAGCAAGAACCAATCTTTTCACCTGTGTCGACCGGAAACGCGCGTACATCGCTAACATGGCCACTTTGTAATGCTTCTGAGTTTCAACGAAACAAGCTTCACTTCTATTCTGTGGAGGTACTGTACCATCGACCATAGATTTGAACCACTGAAAAATTGAATTGTGAGGTTTGTTGGATGTATAATATTGTCTGTAACCATCGCCTACAGCAACCGAACTTAGCCAGCGCCATATGGAATGACTCTAAGTATACAATATTTTATCTCTGCTTTATACAAAGCACTATGTCCGTCTAGTGCGTGTCACGAAATTCATAACACATGTAACAGCAAAGGTGGGACGTTGATTTTACACATGATATAGGGAGTCGGATGGAAACATATATGGTGCGAGATCAAAAGTGATAACGACTTAGAGCTAATAAGGAGGGTCGGAGTGTGACTATCACCAATTTCGTTTTTCCAATAACATTGGTTCTTTCATACGGTATAGGAGGTCAGAGGGGAACCCAAATGATTGGTAAATGAAAGCGATAATAAGTGATAATATTGATGAGGAGAACTGAATTGAGAACGTAGATGGTGAGTGACCGAAAGTAGCATCAACTGATAAGGCAGATAAGGCATCTGAAGATGGATATTATCACATTTGGTGCTCCTTTCGCAGTAATGCTGTAATTCTTCCTCCAAGGAATATGGCGAGGCGGACGGGGCCAAGGATGGTGGATGATGGAAAGCGATAACGATTGATATAGGCTGATAAGTGCTGTTGGAATGTGAGTGTGACATTACGCCTTTCGAAATTAGGTACATTGCTCACAACAGTGAATGGGTAGGGTGACAGGACGTTTACGATGGGTGGCAGGGGTGGCAATGAGTCATGATGGCAAGCCCGTGTAACTACATCGATTACAATCACTATAACAAAACTATTAGATGCTCGATGGATGAACACTTCATTCCTCAAACAGTAGTGAAAAGTAGCACCACTGAACCTTTGAGCTGTTCAGATTTCTGATGGTGAACGCGCATTAGATAGGTATCGGATTCTCAGTATATGAGCGCGTCCTACTCCCGTGCCATACTACTAGCAACAAGACCTCGACCGCTTAAATGAGTGAGTTGAATACAAATGATGGATTCACGAAAAAATATGATAAGCAATTCTTCATCTAATGTATGTCTTACATACAGTCAATATCCGATAGTTGGGGTAGGTGTGGCACCGGATGTGACGTGCACTCGATAGAAGTTGCGTGGATAAGGTGTTCCCGGCATGCTTTGGTGATATCAGCGATGTGTGCTGGCAACAGCTTATCCACGCAACTTCTATCAAGTGCACGTCACTTCTGGTGCCACACGTACCCCAACTATCGGATATCGAGTATAATAGAGTTAAGAGGGCAAATGTGAGCGACATCCTTATTCGTGGTTTCATTACCAGTGCTACCAGCCGTTTCTGTTCAAATCTCATTGAGCTCCTTAAGCAGCCCAAAGTGAAGAGCCATTTGCGCAGGTGAGAAATTGAGTGCGACTGCAATAATAAGGAGACTCCTTCGCACCTACACTCACATGCTTGTGGTGACACTTGCGGTACGCGACTGCTGGCCCCTCTTGGTTAGACCCATCCCAGGCTAGTATAAATTGTGCCACTCATAAAATTTGTTATCCCGATACATTCGAAAAGTCACCCACTTGAACTAAATCTCCTTCAGGTGAGTTGGAATGTACGTGTTCGTCAATATGGTGAAGAAAATAAAATATATTGCACTCACTTGTCGGTGTATAGTTACTCGGTCAAACTGAGTACTATGGTATGAGGTGATCCACTTAATGGTTGTGATTGATGACTCGCTATCATTTCTTATAGCTTTGGCATTGCTTTACAATATATAAGCGTTTCTCTGTCAGGCCCATGAATGATTCATTGTTAAGACACAAAGGGTCTATTGGGGCTCATAACTCACCCATCTATCCCGATCTATCTTCTTTTTTGGTCAGACAAAATTAAAAATAGTGGGAAAACACCTATTGTATTATAGACCCCGTCACTCGAATAGAAGCTTTTGGCAAAAGCGAAGAAGAATGCCAGCTGCACACGTGTAGATCGCGTGATTCGAGGACGCCTGAGCACACCCTTTTGGAAACAGCTATGACAACTCTGCATACAAGAGTATGGTAGTTTGCTTGAACCACTCCGACCTACACTATCTCGTCTGGCACTTACATAGTGAGATCTCGTCTGGCAATTTTTGGATGCTATTTCATGATATTACGACTACATTACTACTAACGAAGTGATTCTTATTAGTATTCCGGTTACCAGTATGACCACTGAGATGCTAAAAATAATCACATCGTTATATGAACCACAACTTTAGTGAGCCGGCTTGTCTATGCATGTCCTACTGTTCGTCCGCAAAAAGGAAGTGACGAGAGTAAGCAGCTTATGGAGGAGTTCTAGCAAAGAAAAAAGAAGTGGAGAGCAAAATTTCAGAAGTCAATATACATGTATTTGTGTCTCTAGCCAGCAACACCATGCTTTGCGCGCTCACGCGTAGTTAACTCTACCAACTTTGTCGCCGGGGCGTTCATGCTATTTCCGAGGAGTTGGGAGACGAAAAGTGGCCTTTAAATTTTCTCTGTTTTCTAATCTGGAATTGCCCTGAGAAAGACCTACATTTAATGTAATGGTACAGCGTAGCGGTCAAAATCTTCGCGAAATTGTTTTTCTACGGTAACTGGTTTTTTTCCGCTTGAAATCAAATCATTTCAAATGGTTGATATGTTTTAGAGATAGGTCCTTTATTTCACTTGGACGGCTATGATTTGTTTCGGATTGAGAAAAGAAGTAAGAATGAAGAAAAAATGATAGTGTCACTTGAATTCTCGGTATGAGCAAAATTACAAGTAGGGTTTCATAATTACTCTAGAAAGCTCTACAATTCCAACAAACAATCTTACGCACAAGGAATAAACATGGGCAGACGTCAATACTTTTGTTAATGATTTCTGGGTTCTGTTGAATATAACAAGGCACTAAGTAAGGAATTCAGTCTTAAAACGCACTGAATTCTAGGGCAGCTTCCTTCACTTACTCTTGACATTTGTCAGTTTGGTCCCAATATGCTGCGTTCTAATTTCCACAAAAGGATATCCCTATCTTTTCCATAATAGTTTCAGATAGCAGATCGGGACATATGGTCGTTGAATTGTTGCTTTCGTTTGAAAAAGCGCGCATTGCTGGACCAAGACACTTCTTCACAATGAAGGTGTGTATGTTTTCGGTGCACTAATGCTAGAAGGCCGGAGTACAGTCAGTGGAGCTGTCATACACGTGGATAGATTCCTTCTAGAATCAATGTATTAGGATGCGTTCACATGATTGCGAATACTGCGGAAGTTAGTTCGGCGAGTTGAATCTTGGTTCAGGGGGCGAATGTGCTCACGCACACTAAGTGGGGATTCCACATTTAGTGGTACGAGGTCTGCGGACCAGACGGATTGAAGTATGAGGTTTGTCCGGCGACTGAAATAGGAATTGGTGTGCGGTCTGGAGAAAAACGTTTCGATCAAGAATTAACTGCGTATGTAAACTTGGCGTAGGCTGCGGTAGGGCGTTAGTCGTAAAGAAAGTTTTTACAACCAACAGGATTAGGAAGCTGCGTGAATGCCGAACGTTCAGGATGAATTTTAAGAAGAGGAGGTTCGAGTATCCAATCGCATGAAACTGATAGGTGACTAAGTCGACTATCTAGCTATCGAGCGACAAAAAGCATTCGACGTTCAATGCGTGAGGATTGGTTTCAACAGCATGGGGCGCTTTATCAACAACATACAATTCACGAGCAATTCCGAGAAGCCAATACGATATTATGGAAAGGATTAGGGTAATCTATGGGTGGAAAATTAAAGGGCCGGGATAATGGAGCGAGAAAATACTTGTCAGATTTTAGAAAAGCTGGAGGAAGCTTGCCTAGTAAGCAGGCTGCTTCAAGTGATGCATCTTACTAGACCTTGTTAGATATTGTTCATGCGAAACCAAAAAGATACATGAACAAAGTATGGTGACCTGCAGTGTTATTATCATGCGTATGATTGTTTTTTGTTGATTGTAAGCTTGCTAGAGTAATTTGGAAACCTATTTGGAATTTGCTATACGCGAAATTTTCTAGTGAAATGATTTTACCCATTCTTAATTCTTTATCATCCCGAAAACAAATAATGCCGTTTAAGTGAACGATATGGACTACTCTTAAAAATATTAAAATTTGAATTGGATGTTGAGTCAGTTACGGGAAAAAGTTAGAGTCGAAAAATAATTCGGCGAAGACTTACCGCTATGTATGTAGGTAAAGGGCGGGAGCGGAAGTGGTGCAGTGACAAGTGGCGCGCTCACCACGCGAGCAGTCCAGGGATCAAATCCTGGGTCGTGAGTCGCCCGGGCCAACCAAGCCTTCCATCCCTCCGGGGTCGGTTAATTGGTACCAGACTTGTCTGGGAGGATAAAAAACACTGACTCGAACATCGGCTGGCCCCCGCAAGTCATTGTATAGGCCACATCGCATTCAAATGCCACTGCGAATGTACAAATGGAAGTAGAATGCGTGCCGCATCCCAAAAGGGATTGATCAACGGCAAATGCTTTATCCTTTATCCTTATGTAGGTAAAGGTAAACGTGCACTGAGAATGAAGAAACAATATCGTTCAAAACAAATAAATTTAAAGGAGACTTTGGATCACTTAGCTTCGGGGAAGCATAGCATACGGCCCCCGGTATCGCGCGTATCACACGACCTAAGATCCCGCAGGCACTCCAGGTATATTTATCACACGTAGCTACACTCGGTCATCTGCTGAATTTCGATAATTTAGCGGTGAGTAGGGTTATAGTGTTAGCCCCACAATTAAATCCCAACATTACCATAAGTGAGCATCTAATGCTGATCCTTCATTCGCAGTGTTCGCAAATCCTAAACTTTGGCGGTCATTGAGTGAGTTCCGGTCTTCTTGGTATTAGACCAAGAATGGAATGTTCCATTCGCCAAGAGCCTGCTCAAACCAAGTTGATTATATCGATAGCATGTCCACGACCCACCCCTAATAACACTTATGAAAAAAGCCCCATAGTGCCAACGTAATTTGCACAATGCAATTGCCGAATTCTGCCTTCTATGGCTCCTTACAAGCCCCTATCAGTTGCTGTCATTTTTGTCGCCCATCTACAATGTCCAGGTACCACCCCATATAATACTTGTAATTATGAACGCTCAAGTGTCAATGTCAGCTGCTCAACGGAATGGGGACTTGTTAATTCAAGGCGTCCTGACAGCCCTTATTAGTTTCTACCATCCTATTTCACCCATAGTGTCCCGGTACCACCTCAAATAACACTTGTAAGTACGAACGCTCTAGTGTCTACGAGAACGCTTGAGTCAAATTTAATGCAAAAAAAATTGAGAAGGTTTGGGAGAAAAATAAAGACCAAAGTAAAAGGAAACAAAGGGAAGTAACTGACGAATACACAGGCGCGGGAAGCAGTAAATGCCTTAGACCTCGCTCGGATTGGTCGCGCGGTTTCCCGCACGCGGCAGGTCGCGAGTACGACGTCGCGCGGTCACTGCCGACAGGCCTAATCCTTAGCTCTTGTCTTACAGCCAAACCCCCGAAATGAATTCAATCCTACTGAATGGTTGTTCTTATACTGGTAGGAAAGTGGTATCACAATCACGCTATCTTTCCCTCTAGTCGACCGTTTTGCGGACGGACAGACAGACGTGCAAACACGCACACAAACAAACCGACACACCAAACTTCTGGTTAATATGATGAAGTGATTGAAGAAGTTGTCAGCAAATAGGAGAAGATCTGATGAGCGTTTCAGGCAAGCGCAACGTACTCTCACTGCAAATGATTGATGACCTTTCCTGGTCAGTCACCAAAAGGAAAGGGTATAGTACTTGATCCCAGGATAAGCCAAGAACATTGGAAGAAGTTTTCGCTAGAAATCTCAAGAACTCAGATCCGCATACTAGAGCGCTAGCGCGAGTCGTGCTGAAATGTATGGTACCCACGCTGCTGAACCAGGCGAGATGACCTCATAAGAGCACGAATAAAGGGTCAGTCTTCGATCGAATAGCAACGATTATTCCGAAAAGTTATTTGCTGCATCGTAATCCTTGTGACGAACCAACAATAAGCGCACAATCACGTCCCACTTGTTCAGTTACTCAATTTCAGGTCCTAATGCTACTTTGCACTCAAGAGTTGCGAAAACGGCATTTCTGTGATCTTTGCGGACACCTCTATCTCGCTCACAGGATAGACTGATCCACCTGAGCTTACCGGGCACTCTTGCCTGAATGCCTACGAATCTGTTACATGCGCACAAGATCTTGTTATTGATCAGTTTAACTCCGCGCGCTACCGCGCGCATGACTCGGTAGACTTAAATTGACATTGTGGAGCGTTAGGTCCCACCGCAGCATCAAGCAGTAAGTCCTCTCCCAAAATCCACACAATTCCGTTGGTTTAGTGAAGCGCGCTATGAATTTTGTGACACACACAAAGAGGGTACTTATCGTTTTATTTATAGTGGGGATTGTGCCTGCGCCGAAGACTCCCAGTTTTCCGTTTTCCCGTTCAAAGCTTGTTTGGCTGGGCTACCAAAATCATCAATTCGTATCAATCCCATTCGTATGTATTAAGAATTTACTGCATGGGTCATTAGCCTCTAATTTTTCGAAACAAAACTATCGTCAAAAATGACTTATTTCTGTACATTTAGTAGATCACTGTACTTCTTCTCTAACAGAGGTAACCACGACAGTATATACTGTACCATTACATAATTAGTTATAGTTCTTGGTGACGTTTCGTTGAGAACTTGGTTGAGTCTGAAAAAAAATGTTACAGAGTTTTCCTATAACGTGAACCTTTTAATGTTATCTTCATAGTACTAACCGCTCCATGTATTCGTTACTCGGTACTGCCACCCACGGATCAAGAATTATGTAGTAATGAGCGGTAGGTGGAGCTACAAGGAGAAGGTACTGCGTCCAATTCACCTTAACATAATGCATTAGTTGAAGGAGCAGACTCATTCATTAGCAAGGCACTGCGCAAGGTGCAATGCGCAAGGTAATGCTAATTTCTTTCTTTTACACCCAGCTTGTTTTCCCTCTGCTTTTCATGATGATACACCTACACTTAAGAATTGTTTCAAAGGCAAAGATCGGGCTTAATGAGGGGTATTACGGCGCTTGAAAATGAGTGTGGAACTGCGAGATGGAGCGACAGCGGCAAAACAAAAAAACCGCTGACAGGGCCGAAAACGAAAGCTCTCTCCCTTTAGGTGTGAAGGAGGCTGGCTTGAGAGAGAGACACGTCCAAACGAGTTTTTTGGACATGCCAGCCATTCCTGACTGTGTGCCGTCGGCTGATACGGCTATCAAACCAGGGACGGTAGTAAACTACCCTCAATTCGCAGTTAGAGGTGGTGATCGAGGGCCCTTGCATAGAATAAAAAATAAGACATTCGCGAAACGATCTTAAATCAAACACTAGCTCTATTTTATGATCACAGAACAACGAAACATGAGGAAACGAACGAATATTCTAGAAAAAACGGTCACAAAAGCATCTGTGGATTATGCGATTGCAGCTGCATTTTTAATTCCTACTTAGTGGAGCTGGTCAGAGAAAAAAGGCCGTGGGAATGGGGAGACGCAGATGCCACGTTTGCCACGTTGACCCTCCTTTAAAGAGTCCTTCGGAGTACTTTTCCATTTTGCGCTTAAGTGCTAATTAAGTTATGGCTACCACGCGGCGGTGTCGCTCTGCTCGTCCGGCACTCTCAAGCGCCATCAACTAAACTTGATCCCAGGAAGGAATGGGTAAGTTTTAGATCTTTCCCGTCAACAGTAAGTTTTGTTTGAGGGCCTCCAAAGAGCAAACCGCGTAGCTCACAACTCACCTAGCACCAGCCCCTATCTTGCAGGAACGCACCGCATTTAGTTTACCGCCTTACTCGATTTCAGTTGAATCTCGCCGATGTGACACCGATGTACGCGTTGCGGTATTCAAATTTATTGCGCGGGAAGATAGTGGAACCGCGGACATGACGTAATTTATTGCTCGAGATCTCCCATATTCTCGCTTTGAACGTTTTTACCTTGTGTCTTATTGTACTTGTTTTGAACTTTATCACCCTTCGCAGACACCTGAGAAGTCATTCGGATTAGGTTGGCGAAGTCGTATCTCATCGCCGACGGTATATAGGTGGTCAAGAAACTTAGCATTGTTCTGTTGGTTTCTTTCACTAACAACGGTTGTTAGTGAGGCGCCTGCCTGCCTCGACGGACATCCGATCTTTCGATATGAGACTTGGAACGCAGATTAATGAGTGTTGGCTTAAAACTCCAGGTGTAATAATACATAATGGCTGCAGCCGCAGAATGCTGAAAGGGAAGCAGAAGAGCCTAGAGCGAGGTTTGGGAGGGGGAGGGAGGTTTTCCTTGATGGGGAGCCACATCATGTGGCAAGAGCTGCTGTGGCAGGCCACGGCATTTTTCTCCAAGTGCACCCTCGTAATGGTAGTTTCTCTGTCAGCGCACCTCGGATTCCGCACTTTACGGTTATTAAACCAGTGGAGAGATTATTGAGGAACCGATAAATTCAAGTAGATCAAGACTCCCAGCAAGCTGACCCAGCATTGAATGAAATGAGCAGCAGAAAATGCGCAACTTCTCACAAGGTTTTTATACTATAGGCCATAACTCAACATAATAAACGAGTGGTCCACGGAATGGTTAAATACGCTTGAGCTCTGGAAATGATTTCTTCCCACAGGAAGCTCCCTTCTTTGTCTAATTTTTCAACTTTTTAGTGTGAAAATAGGGAAGCGGAAGTTATGACTTTCCACACTAGGTGGAGCTTTATTAGTGGCAGGATCTTCCCAAAGACAGAGGTTTTTGGAACTCTGTGGAATCCCTTTTAAGCAACCTACCATCTAAGGCAAAAAGAAACATTCCGAGTTTAGATTATGGAAATGTTTCTGTTACACTGAATTACTACGAATCTCCGAAAGAAACTTTTGTGTTGGAAAATTGAAATTCGTGAATAAAAACCTCCGCCCCAGTTGACATCTTTCCACGGCAAAACTATATCTTCTTGACTCGGCCCATCTTTTTCAGGCCTGAGACTTGTGCGGATACTGACCTTGAGTTGAACTTTCTTGAAATGCTTTGATCTATTCCTAATTCCTCAAGGCAGACGAAATTTCCGCGGCTAACAATTCAGCCCACCAGTGTTATAACTTTTTTGGCGGTCACTGGGAGCGCTAGGCTTTTTGAATTTCATTTGAATAGGAGGACAGATGTCCGCCATTTCACAGCGTGTATGTTTATGCAGCTTTGTACTTATCCCTCTCACTATTAAACAATGAGGGATGTCCTTCTGCGTCGCCTTCTCCATGCCAACTCGAACCATCGTTGCCGTTCCTGTTTCTTCGCTTATGGATGGATTTCGAGCGGGAAATTTGTCCAGAGCCTGATGGGAACGGCGAAGCTACAAGGCGAAGGTATCCATGTGGTCTACTGGCAGACCAGGCCAAAGACCTGTTTCAGATCTTGTACATAGGGCATAAGGAACTGCGTGAGATCAAGGCTCCACTGGTCACTGCTACAGAAGGGGCGTTGCAAGAGAATTTTTGACGTATAAAGTGTTCGGAGTGCCCATTGTAAGCTCCCGCCAAGATGACTTTGAACAAGGGGTGGGAAGCTGAGTCACCGAAAAGGACTGTCGAAATTGCGGAAAGCATGTTCACTCTGAAATGCACATGCACTTTTTTATAATATATGTTACACGTTCACGTTGGTAATGCCACAAATCTTTCATGAAAAGGATTATTAAGGTCATCGCTAGACGGACACAATTGTTCGGACAATTAAAGAACTCGTGAAAGGGTACCCGGCAAGGACTGCTAAGAGTGACCACAATAATTCCAATCTCTTCCAGGCGGCCTATGAATCATTTCTCAGCGAACAGTAACTACACACTCGTCAGCGCAAAGCGAGTAGCCGAGTCGCAATAAGTGAGAGGACCTAATAATAATGCCTTTGCCCTCTCTGGAAGCACTGATATGAAGACTACTCAGAAGGACTTGCATCGCCTGGATCATCGCATATGATTAAGCGATCAAGCACTCTTCATACAGCACCTATGGTAAACAGTATTACTAAAATTGGGGTCCTTCCTTTCAGTTCCTTTCCAAATACTTTAGTGTGAATGAGCGTCTTCAATTTGAGTTCCGGAAGATAGTCAAGGAAGCCCTCAATGGCAGGTTGAGACGTCGCAGAACGCAGGTCAGAGACGCAGGATCTGGCTTTCGGCAGCCCTCCTTCCAGAAAAACGAGTGCTCAACTGTTTTTGACGTGAAAGTGAATAGTTGCATGGAGCTACTGGTTTTAATTCGCTGAACCTGTACATGAATAAAGTTGTTAAGGTTTGTCATGGCAGCTTGAGGCGCAGGTCTTGTCGACCTTCTTAGATAGTACATAGGTGTTTTGGTGGTATTTCGTTGTGACAGGATTTCTTTCGAATGAGTCACAAGATTGCTACGTACCATTGCTATGCTGCAGGGTAGCAAAAGAAATCCAGAAATTTAGTGTTTGATAGTTTTGTTTGGCATCGCTCGTTAATATTAAGCTCTTGTAGGTTGATTCGTCATTGAAGTATACAGCAATTATGAGGCTATTCAAAAAATTTAGAGAACAGTTCCTCTCCGAAGAACTTCGCACGTCGTTCTCTTCGTGATCCGTTCGATACTGTCTACTTTTCACATCTATCGAGACTTATTACTACTTCAGAACATCACGGTGAAATAATTCTGGAAATCTAATGATATCACCAGAGCAATAATTCGTCTACCCTATATAACGTCTCAAACTCTCGAAACACATGGAAGATCACTAAGCGTTGCGCCCATCAGAAAGCTTCGAAGCCAACTCTTAAGAGTACAACTACGAAATGTTGCCATAATAGAGGATCGAAACAAATCCATATGTTTGGACTTCTGCACAGAAATGATCGGGAAGGGAGCTACGTCGCATATTATGTCTTCACTGATGAATGCACTGTGCAAAGTAAAGAACGATCGATTCCTGTTTTCCATTACATCACAAAGTGAAATGTTGTATTTTTCAGGCAAATTTTCAATTCAAATTTCAGTTGGCTGTTTGACAAGATTCTGTTTTGCGAAACTAGGAGACTATTCTACAACTTCTGCCGAAGCGCGGAGCAACAATTCACAGCAAATTTCCACATTCAAATGTCACTTTGAGGTGCTATGCCACTCGCCATACTACCGGAAAACAGTAGAATTGATAGTGGAATGAATCGCGAAATACGGCGAAGGTGCTACCTGCCACTTGAGCAGCAAATTCTGGGTCACATACTTCCCTCATTTACCGTTTTGATCCATGATAGCCATGGGCAACTCAAGGATTTTGTGAATTAGTGCAAAGTGAGTTCCACTGCAAAAGAATCAATATACGATCACCGACCGAGTGATTGGAATGTCAAGAGAGTACGTCGGCCTTTAATATACCTGCCAGTGGTCTCTTAATTTCAAATCTATTAAATGGGCATGGAAAACATGAAGAATTACATAAGGTAGTAAATGTGGGAGTTCTGTGCAGAAGTAGCTTAAACGCGTATCTATCTTTGCTATTTGATACAGGAAGCAACGAACAGGTACTCGCAATGATTAGCTAGCATCGACACTAACATATCGGAGAAGCCTCACTCCCGATGTTGCAAATTACGTGTGGATTGACGTTCACACTGGAACGAGCCATTGGGCAAGGAACAATGTCAGGAAAGGAAATCACAGCAGAAAAGCTAAGCGTATGTTTGTTGTGTGCCTTTTTGCATCTGGCTTTAGTACAGTCATTTGAAAGTTTTCTATTCCATTTCAGCAGCAAGAATACACGGGAATTCAATCACTTCGTCGTTCAAAGTGATTTGAAGTCAGTGGAGACGACAACGTTCGAGAGTCTTGTGGAGATTTTTCGATCGTAACTACGCAAATTTCCAAGTTTTGACACTGCTTTCGGATTACTGATCCGTTCTTCCTTTCAAGTTCTTCTCTCAGTAAATGGCCACTGTATCTGATATAAGTAGCCACATTTATAATGAAACAGATTTCTTATCCTCTGCAGATGATGTTCGGGTTCGTTAGCTCGTAAACTCCCTTCCCTGCAGATCAGAAACGATCAGTCATCGTAGAAGGGAGCTGTCAAGACAAAGTTGGAGAAAGGTATAGTAGCTATACAGAGCATATATAAATAGCATACGATCCTCGTTGTCGAAGAGCATCTACCGTGATACTCTGCCAGCAGCTTTTTCACTGCTGCAACATTGCACGTACAGAGTGTTGCGCAGTATGCAGAATTTACGTCAACACATTGAAGGGAAGGGTATTTCTGGAGACGTACATAAAATAGAGCGGTACGGCCTAGTAGGCATCGTAGACACACCATACACACAATGTCTGGTCCCGGCTATAGTGGGCTATGAGGGAGGATAGATGGGATATGTGGTGCAGACAGAAGACGTGGTGTTCAAGAGAGTCGCAACAGTAAATTCATGATTTATATCCTTCCCTCTCCTTTTCCCATGCTTTGCCTTACCCATGAGCCCTTACCAGATATAATCATAGGTGCTTTCATCATTTTAGAGGTCTGGTTTTCCTTTTCCGCTTCAATTTTCGATTTGGAAGAGAGTTTATTCATATCATACAACAATACTAGGACATAGAATAAAACACATCCTTGAAAATGCGTACATGACCATAGAAAAGAAAGGTAGCGCGTGCATGACAAGAGAACAGTATGTGGGAGGAATTGGTCACTTGCGCTCCGATTTTTCGTATCAGCAGTGAATTGGATGCATGTATCTGCGATGCAAGAGCGGGAACTGCAATTCCGATCCGAAAATTCATGACTTCAAGGGAATGAGGGCTATGCTGCTCCTCCTGAAATCTTTGGGACCTCCATTAAGTCTGGCTCACAATCGCTGTTTTACGGTCTACGCTCTACAAAAAGTCAGGGTATATTTACAATAAATTTACAAGCCCCTCTTTCACTGCTAGGTGGTAAACGTTATGGTCAAAGAAGTAGGTTGACCATGTCACTGGCTTCTTCTGCACGAAACAGTCAGCCCTCAGGACTCAGGGCATCTTTGGTTGGTCGGTAGCCAGAACTCACTGACAGTGACGCTCATAAGGGAAAGGAGAGGCAAAAATGAACACTTCTCCCATAACGCACACCTTTTCAAACTTTTCGTCACGTAGTGTGCTGCCATTGTTGAATGTCTCATGACAAAATAATCCTTAGCCATCTCCTCATAAGCAGGAGTAGGCACTTCTTCCCCGCCGTTGCCGTCTTTAGAATATGACGTCATCTGCAACCTCCATCGAAATGAAGGGGGTCTACCGTAGTCGCTCCAGCCTGAAGCTGCCAAATAATTTCTTCAGTCGGCTTACTGATGGATATCTTCTTAGAAGCAGTGGCTGTCGAAATGGATTACCCTTCCTTCCAGGATTATAGGTAACGTTGTAATGACCCAATCTGTCGAGGACCTCGTTGAGCTTGAACCGTCGGTCATGTTCCCGTGGCAAATTCTTCTGATGACGTCGGTTGGCTATCATGAGGTTTTTCATAGATTGAGATAGACTTGTGAGATGTGCACCTCAATTCCCATTTGGCATCATTCGGTTTGAATTTAGCAAAGTGGGATTGGGTTACATTTGAATGTGATGGTAGAGCACTTTTTGACCAGACCCCGTGTATTAACGATAGATAGCGCATAATATTAAAAAGGAGAACTCGAGAAAAAGAAGAAGGAGACTCAAAAAAAACGTCTGAATGAACGATTCCTCATCTTTATTTACAAAGCAGTGAGTATATTATTGTACCTCATATCAATATAATAGTAAGACACCTTACTATTATAATGATGTAGGTATAATAATATACGCACTGCTTGGTAAATGCAGATACCTTGGAAAAAACATTGAAAGTCGTCTCATTGTGTGAGCAGTTTAGCGCGGCACCCGCTCATCGAACAAACTGACAATAGCAAGAACAATAAATGAAACGCCTTCATAAAGATCAAATTCTGACGGAAACAGGTACATCTGATTGTGAGATGGTGCCGTTGTGATATTTTCCACATCTACAACGGAGAGGGTATGAAATACCTCATGAGCTTTGGGATGCATTTCCGGCGCCATATCACCCCGTTCATAGCGCATCTTCTGGTGTTCAAGCCCTCGTTTTCGCCTTTGTGGGTAAAATACCATCTTCATTAAGCTCGCTCCCATGCGCACAATCTCTCTCGTTTCGTCCATTTTTCTTTGTCGGCTCTTGTCGACCCCACAGCGAACTCACCTTATGTACTGTCGCATCCACTTGACTCAAATTCATGATGCTTGAAGCGTTGTAGAAGTTATTGCTCTCTAGTAGTGATCTCAAATCTGGTATAGGTATTGAGTGAAGCTTTTCCATAAAAATTCGCATGTCTAAGATATCTGGTGGTGCATTAGTGTTACTGAAGTTCACTCCTATATCATCAGCAATTCGTTTCATCTATAATCAAACACTGTTTAATAACGATTGAATGGCTGGATTTTTTTAGAATTGCTCTGTCCCAAAATCTCATGTTAAAAATGTGTAATAAACGATGTGAGACTTCAAAAATATGTTATTGCAAAAGACTAAAACTTTTTACAAAAGAAATTGCAAAATTGTGTGGTTGCAAAAGTTTTGCAAAAGCTTAGGTCTTTTTTGGCGAGCTTTTGACACCTAGCCTTTGTGGAGCCTGAAATGAATAGTTAGAGCTCTTTCAAAGTCTGTTCATGTATTAAAATATATTAACTGACCCACCTGCTGTCCACTCTCAAAGTTGTAACACTTACCACCCTTGTTGGTATGTGAAGCAGAAATTATTAAGAGATTTCATATAATTCAATACAACAAGGGTGGTAAGTGTTACAATTTTAGAGTGGACAGCGGTGGTCAGTTCATATATTTTAT